TAGGTAGTATAGGGTCGAACCTCAGTGAATAGAAATATTATGATTTGATTATATATCCATTTATAAGTCTCCTTTCCAAAAAGGCAAACAATAAGAGAAATAATTGATTATTTTTTGGTATTTCTTAAATAATGATTATTAAAATATTTACACTTTTTTCTAAGAAGCGATTCAAAATATTAAGGCACGGGAAATTAATCAAAATGTAAATCTAATAATAATATAAATGTTTTAATTGATAAGATTTTTTTATTATATATATTGTGTGGAAGGGCCACGCAACTTGACCGGTTTTTTGTTATCGGTTAGGTGAGAAGGAGGCAAACGAGCCGGCAGTTCACCTGATGTTGATTGAGTATTATTGTGAGTTTGCAGATGCGTTGTTTTTAAATAAAGTGGGCCGGCTACCTTCTCATCAGACGAAACGCAGAAGTATAACTTCCACATACACCAGTCTCCTGTGAGGTCGTGGTATTTATCCGGACGAACCTGGCCATTCGAGCAAAAGTGAAGACTTTTGCGTGGCCCTACCACCGTTAAAATATTGTAAATTATTTAAGTTGTTTTTTCAAAATATACCCTAATGACGAAAACACGAACTGGATATCGATTCGAAACAGAGGTAATTTTAAAACAGACTTTATAAGACTTTAACGAATATAGAACCAAGCTGCCTTACAAATTATTGTTTGCTCCTAAAGTTCCCTGATGACAAAAACACGTGAATTGGATATCAAAACAGGTAATTTCAGAAAAGACTTTATAAGACTTTAACGAATAAAGTACAAAGTTGCAGAGGGCAACGTTTATATAGGGCAGGTCGTGGATTATATACAGCGTGTCTTTACAGTCGCGACAATAAATGTACACACATACAGAGGATAACTTTTTTAAATTGTATTAAAGATTTACATTCTTTAAACATCAATATTTACCGAGTTATCAAATTTTCCAAAACAAAGAATTTTAGAACATCCTTACGTATAAAACTATAATATAAAGTTCATTTGTAAAGGTCACAAACCATATATAAAACTATAATATAAGTTAGAAGGAGAGGCTTGTAATGCGGCGCTGTGGTAACGAATGAAAAACTCTCTGAATGTATGAATCAGTCAGTTGTAGTTGTATAGGATGTTACACATTTTGTTTCTTTTTTACTTAATTAGTTTGTTTGAAAAATATTTATTTTTAATTATGGATTTTTATTAACGTTAATATTTTTTTATGATTATTGGCAATTAACGTTAGACGTGTGTTCATTTATTGTCGCGGTGGTAAAGACATGCTGTATATTAGCTATGAAAAGCTTTTTAAATGCGTGATTTGGTGAGTTTTAATATCACATTTTCAGTCTATTGTATGGGACAATATACAATATGTCCCAACAAATGGCAAGGTTTATGAAACCTAGATGCAAAAAAGACACAATAACTAAATACATAATATCATAAGTAATGTATCTATGGTTGATATTACTGGTAACATAAAAGGAAGATAGAAAAACTTAAAACGTGACAAAAAGAGATTTCCATCACGAGGACAGAACCGTGTGTCTCGTAACTAGCGCTGGCACATCCATGTTATTGGGAACTAGCCAAATGGAAAGTGCCCTTTTAAACAAAATATTCTTAAATTAGAAGTATTACAAATGTACTTGAAAATGTTATTACATACTTAATAAATACAGAAACTAATTCTTAAAATAACTCATTCCTCAAACCTCACGAGAGCTAACCGATAGTTGTAATTGAATAGTGCGGGCCTTAGAGACGGACGCTATATGCGACCATCCCCTTGCTATATAGTATTTGTTGCGTTTATAAGGTCAGTGCACTGTGTTGCAACTGTGCTGCAACTGCAGGTTAAATTTAATCGTTCGCTCTCTTTCACGGGCATATGTTTTCGTTTTGTGGACCCGTGTTGAAGACAAAGAGTGAAAAGAGAGTTTTGTGTGAACTGTAAAATTATTCTCGTAGATGGGTTGCAGCTTTTAGAAGATTTACATACAATTTTCCCGCCCAAAAAGTAGCTATTACTTTTACTCTAAAGCGCGCCGCATAGGAGGAAAGTTTATTCACTGAAATCTCTGTTGATTCGGCTGATTTTTTCAAACATGCAGTGAGAGTTTGTGAGAGTTCTTTTAGGATGGATGGATTTTATGGCTAGTCACTTGGTGAAGCCAGTTTGGTTGAGCGCAGGCGCCCCAGCAAAACAAACCAGCAAGTTGACTAGTAACACGGGCATAAATCTAGCATGATTTCAAGCAACGAAACCCCCTCTCTCTTCTTCGCATTTTTAAGGTTTCGTTACCAAAGGGTAAAACGGGACCATATTACTCCGTGGTCTATCTCTCTGTCAGTCTGTCACCAGGCTGTATCGCTTGAACCGTGATACTCGTAGTTAGACATTTGAAATTTTCACAGATGTTGTATTTCTGTTGAGGCTATAACAACTAAAAAACAGAATAAAAAATATTTAAGTGGAGCTTTCATACAACGGATATGGCTTTATTGCGTTTTAAAGACAATTAATGTTACGGAACCCTTGGTGCGCGAGTCCGATTCGCACTTGGCCGTTTTATCTTTTATTTCTCAGACGCAAACTTTATTTTAGCATTTTTGTCAACTGCGGAGTGTTTAGCATAGGGCATCGTAGCATTAGCAACACTTTGTTCATCGTCTCCATACCCGAGACTTATTACCGTCACTGTCCCAAAAGTATATGGTGGTAGAACCAACGCCTCCCCAAAGCCCAACAAGAACGGTTTCACCGCTGCCGTTGGTATAGGCAAGGAGGGCAAAAACGGCTAAGTAATTTTAGTAAGGGATAAGCTGGAAATCAGCACTGAGAACTTCTCCCGGGAATCGCCGACCTTTTTGACCAAATGTTATGTACACATTTTTGTGTAATATAGTTTTTTATCTTTGTTTTTTTTTAAATTCATTATTCACATTTCATTGTATAATGTGAAAGGCCTAACGGCACTCCCAATCTCGAAACTAAAATCGGTTCAGCTTCAGGCTTTCTTATTAAAATTTGTAGAAAAAGTACGAAAAGATTGTCACCGCTGTGGAAATCGAACCCACGTCTTCGGCATTCGCGGCCTGATGCTTTAGCCACTAAGCTTAACGCCTGATTGCCACAATGACGAAAATCTTAACGTCTTTTATCTACATTGTCTTTTAGCATTTGAAGCGATGCTTGGCGCATCTGTTGTTACTAAGCAATGGCGACATCTCTCGTTCGAATTATCGTTGCAAACGATATTCGAAATTGTTTGTATGCTGGAAAGGATGTTTGCTAGAAGAGAACTCTTTTTAGGGTTAAGCTCGCTTTTGTAGGTTCTTTTTAACCTCATCTTTGTCTTCAATTTTACTGTGTGCAGTAAAGAATAAAGAGAGAAAGAAAGAATAATGCTAGATGTTTATTCTCAAAGCGGTCTCGCTCGATGTTGATTATCCATGACTACTTACATCAGATTACAGACCAGTATTGTGTAAACTGAGTTAGGGCGCCGGAAAGGTCATTCCGACCCAAATTGTAGTGGGCTGGCATCACTTCGAGATCGAACTCAAAGCTACGGACCCCTGTCTCGATAATTTATGCGAGACCCTTTTCACGCACGACGGCGTGAGTTGGGAGGTAGAAAGTCTCTTCTCACATCTAATAGACGGTCGGGTGGAGGGCGACACCGCTTTCCAAGTCAACGTCAAAGTCAACATTTATTATTCAATACACTTATTTTAAGCTTTCGTTGAACGTGAAACACAACTATCGGTTTTTTTTAATGATTCAAGTATAAAATCAGCAGCATCCAAGGGACTTGAAAGTTCAGAGCAATCTCTAATCTTCCGAATGACTTCAAATATGTAATAAGAGTGAAACTTATATTTTTCAAAAAAAAATTCTCAAACATTTGTCCCATAACCTTTATTCGTGATTTGGATACATTTTACATATTGTTCAATTATTACAATTAATTGACGATAATCACATATTTATTGAAGACTAAATGAAGAGTACATTCTGTGAATAAACCTTGATTATGGTTCCATATTTTATTATTTTTCAAGACTACATGATTGATTTAAACTACCAGTATTATATTTTGTGATGTTTAATACAATTCAAGCAGTTTACAAAACGGCAGAATAGTTTCTAAGTAGAAAATATGCCCTCTCTATGTGGGTTCTACATTACAATATTGCTTTTTTATATTTTACAGAAGCGGTAAGTGTCGTTTTATACTGATTATATTTATTGAAAACTTTCCAAATGACAATAGAACGCGCTTAAAATGCTATATTAATTTGAATTACGTTATTTCTTCAAAAAGTTATGGATAACTTGATATCTATGTTGTTACAGTGTTATAGTTTCTCTCAGTTAATACAAATAAATCCTTTAATAAGTACAAACAAATCCTTTCACCTTTGATTAATATGATTATATAACAATATTCTTAAATCTGTTTTGAATATATGTTTTATAACATGCACTGTATTTGTTACATTGTTCATACAAGTCTGTACACCATTTCACTTTCTGATAAGAACACTGCAGTCTGAGCTATCACTGTTAAAGTCACTGTCATTATAAATTCGATATAAAACATCATTAAAAGAAATAAAAATTATTCACGGACATCATAGTAATACCTTTCAGTTCTGGTCCGATTCAATTAACCGTAACTATGTACTGGAAGACTGTAATTTCACGTGTATTTTTAATGAAATCGATTATGTAAAGAGTCACAACTCATTGATTCGAGTTCCCTTTTTGACACACTGTAGCTGTTAATGTTTTAGGGAAGGTCTGCACTAACACACTCCCGATTTCGTCGATGGGTATAGTTTGAATTAATGCAAACATAATTAAACTGTCTATGTGTTCGTTCAATGTGCGCATCAAACATTGGTTGACATATGTTTCATGCGCTTTTTCCAATGCTAGGGAGGCTCTTGTTTGGCTGGTCGTCGCCTGATGATTACTAGCTAATATCGGTGGCGGTTCGGATATATGTTGGGGTTCTGGACGTTTGGGTTGGACTGCTGCACGGGGTAGCCCTGGGTTATGCTGCCCGGTTTCGCCGTCTGAAAGCATATTCGTTAAGAGCAGCAATCATCGATAGATAGGATTGAGGGATTGTTCGTTAAATTATTTTTTCTATTTAACTTTGGTGACTTAAATAATCGGGAAAGAGAAATTTGTGCTGGGAAATTATACCCAACCTACTCAATATACACTGCGGATCGGCTGTGAAGGAAGGAAAACATCGTGATGTGTTTTCCTTCACAGCAGAGCGTGATAATTATTATTTATATTTACAATTTCATTGGTGCCGGCACCGGGCATCGAACCTAGGTTGCTCGAGTATATTGAATTATAAGCGAGCGCCCAGACAATGAGCTAGACTTATTATATTAGGGTGAAAACAATAAAAAAATACAAATAAATTTATCTTACATACTCATACATATTATATAAAACTAATTTTACAACGTTTAATGGTTTTTTTTTATCCTGATGTTTCGAATTCTTTAATTTTTTTTATGAGTACAAAAAATATTAAACGCGAAAAAAAATCGTTAAAATTAGTTTTTTTACGTGTTGTATTCGCGTAAATCAGAAATATTACATATATAACTAACACTGTGATGTTGAACTGTCACTGTGTGTGTATCTTGCGTTAGTGTTAAACTATCACTGCGGGCGTATCTTGCGTTGGTGTTGAACTGTCATTGTGTGTGTATCTTACTTTAGTGTTAAACTATCACTGCAGGCGTATCTTGCGTTGGTGTTGAACCATCACTGTGTGGATATCTTGCGTTGGTGTTGAACTATCACTGTGTGTGTATCTTACGTTAGTGTTAAACTATCACTGCGCGCGTATCTTGTTGCGTTGGCGTTGAACCATCACTGTGTGTGTATTTTACGTTGGTGTTGAACTATTATAGGGTGCCGCTCACCTGCATATTGTTGTGCTGGGGCGGCGGGTGTATCGCGATGTGGCGGCTGACTGGTGGCTGGGCGTACACCACGCCGCTGCTCACGGACGTATGGTGGGCTTCGCTCAGCCCGATCAGCACCTGCGGCGGCTGGTGACGTCACAACAAACTGAGCACGGGCCTGTACTGTCCCGCGCAAAACTTCAACGCACCTCGGCGAACACGGTGTGTATAGACGTGTGCAAAAAAATTGAGAAAGAGTTTTTCATTTTATTGATTCATCTTCTTCTTATATATAAAAATGGATTGCTGTTCGTTAGTCTCGCTAAAACTCGAGAACGCCTGGACCGATTTGGCTAATTTTGGTTTTGAAATATTTGTGGCAGTCCAGGGAAGGTTTAAACGATGTGAAATTATGGAAATATTGTATGGAAAATCGAAATACCAGCATTTTTATTTCCCATAGAAACTCTTCCTACTTGTGAAACATTTTACAGGTGCGTTCCGAAAATTCTTTTTCTATGTGTTCAGATTCACAATTCCCTAGAATTAATTTATATGGCAAAACAACGTTTGCTGGGTCAGCTAGTATCTAAATAATAATTTGTTCAAAATGGCGATGTTTGCAACTACCCGCAGAATTGCAGTGAAGCAAGAAGAAAGCGATTTAGACTGAGGCGCGAACGAGACGGCAATACTCGTATTGTGGTAGGTATGACAATTATTATCATACTGATATGCGTGGGAAAAACGCGTGCACCATTAAGAAACAATTGCAACACAAATATCTAATATAATATATTACACATCTACACTTAAGCCCCTGCACTCATTCACAAATCTACGTATTTATTGTCTACAGTATAGTGCAAAATTTTTATACTTCGTTTTCGATTGATATTTCGTTTACCTAATACCGAAGTATACGAGTAGGTACTTAAAATGTACTGTAGCTGTACTGCGATAGAGAAATCCAGGTGCGTGTGCTTTTGTATAAATAAGCATTCTCGTCCGGGGAAGTACGAGGACACAAACACACTCGGACGTCATATGGACGTACCTTTTCGTGTACCACTCAGATAACGACGTGAATACCTTTGTGTCGGGGGAAATCTTCAATAGAATCACTGTAGTTTCTCACTTGCCAGGGTTATATGGGTTTCGTACCCACTTAAGACCGCTTCGACCGGCTGCCACTCCATGTGCTTTTTTAGGCACGTTTTACGACAGGCAGGGGACACCCAGTGACGGATTAAGCCATCGCGGGGCCGGTAGCAAATTCTTACAAACAGCCCTTGATCTGCTATGTGTTCTTATATAAATTGGTAAAGAAACAATTCAATACACTCAAATAATTAGGGCTCGGGCAGATATGAGTATGTTTAAATGTGCGGGGCCGCCTTTTGGCGCGGGGCCCGTAGCAATTGCTACTCTTGCTACGTAGTTAATCCGGCACTGGGGATACCATAGCCGTAGATTGAGCCTGAGACTATAGGGCTGAAAACCTATAATAGTAATCATTACTATTTTAGTTACTTTTCTGGCGAGCTGGGTAACCTCTTTCAAAGGTTGGCAACATGCCTCCAACCATTTGCTGACCATTTATCTTTAATTGGACCCCCGTCATCCCGCCTACTCATAAAACAATTGAGACACACCTGCGGCTCCTTCTTCGGCTCCTGGTGCTGCTGACCCTCCCTGTTCTTCAGTATGTCGATGTACAGCTGGGGCTGGGGCGCCGGCGCGTACATCAGGTTCGAGTGGTGGGGCGTGTGCGGCGTGTGCGGCGTGTGGGGCGTGTGCGCGTGGTGGGGATACAGCAGGGTGGGGGGCCTCTCGCCCACCACGCCCACCACGCCCGACGTGGGCATTGCGTAGTACGCGCCGGACGACACCGGCGAGCTGCCAACGTTGGACGCGTACTGCGACGGCTCTGCAACCCGCGAATGTTCGGTCAAACGTTGGCCAAACGTTGGCGCCGCTTCGGCGGATGAAGCCGCTCTCGTTCCTTTGTAATTAGCGAATCGATAGGAGTTAACACCGATTAGTCACGCACTCACGAGCTTTGGTTTAGTTCAGCATTAGTAAGATTTATTAGTGGAAAGATTTAGAGCGAGTTTTATAACGTAAATATTAGAAGATTCATAAAAAATTATACCTAAAAATAAGCTGTAATGTATTAACAATGCTCACTTACAACCCTACTTTCTAGCTTTAAACCCAATGGCTTACATACTCTATTAGTAGTATTGGTGGCAGTTTATTATCTAACACACGACCCGAGCTTTGGCAAGAAAAAATTGTGATTAATCTTGACTCCTACAAAGATCTCTTGTTGTTTTAAGGATAGACCATGTTATGTGAACTGGCCATCAGTATAAAATACATCAAGTAATCCAATGACTCCTAAGACATTCAAGAGTATCCGTTTTGATTTTGCCTTTAAGCAAATATTCCAAGATATTATATATTACATGACCTAATTATTATGAATATGATTTCTTTAATTTTTCGAAAGTGTTACAATATGAAAAAATCATATACCTATTAACATACGTAAATTTACTTAAATCAATCTTAATTGCAATACACTCACTAATGTGGATTTGCCCAGTTTAATAATAAAAGCTATGGCATATTTTACACACAAATTTATCCATTATACTGACCACAATAAAGTACAGTACCCGGAGGACTTGTTTTTTTTTTTGGTAAATCGTGTATTTTGGAAATTACATTTAGATACAAATTACTGAGTAATGAAATATGCATAATATTTTTTTTACCTACGTAATAATAAGAAAATATGAACTGATGTTTTTCACAAAAGAAAGAACTTAAAAAAAAGGGAAAAAAATAACAAAATAACAAATCGACAAAAAATTAAAAGAAAGAGAAAGCAATGATCTGGAATCGAAAAACAAGTAAAAAAATAAATGTGTAAATGATCGTGACGCGAACCACGGCCGTCTGTTTTGGGGCCGCCCGATTACCGACCGAGCTATTATGACATTTTCTCTTGCGGCGAAATTTACCGTCATATTCGAATTATATTTTTCATTCCCTGAAAACAGGGATAAAAGGACATTTTCTAAAAATGAAACCTAGCTAGATCGATTTTTCGCCCCCGAATCTATGCACATACTAAATTTCATGAAAATCGCTGGAGCCGTTTCCGAGATTCCGATTATATATATATATATATATATATATATATATATATATACAAGAATTGCTCGTTTAAAGGATAAGATAGATCAACTTTCATTAATCTTCTGAAACGTCCTTACTAGACTTTCATCAAGTTTTTCATTTCTCATTAAAATAATAAAAACAATTTTGTAAAATCATTATTAAATAATTTTTTAATGAGGATCAGCTTCATTCTCTATAAAATCTCAACCTAACCAATTTGTATAAGTTTATTTATTTATCGAAACACTTTACCAAAGATTGTTTAAAAGTCTGTACTAATAGTTCAACAACAAGGCAACACATAAAAATAAAAGAAATGAAAGCCAACACAGGGGAAAAATCAAAACAGAACTAAAAGATGTGACAATAAAAAAAGGGTACTTTGAATAGACAGCACAAGAAAATCTGGAGTTATGGAGGATGAATAAAGTGGAAGCATGAGATTAAGCGACAGTGGTGACATCTATTGAGGTTTCAACTCACTGTTCCAAAGCACTGCGCGGGCCATTTGACGGCCCATACGGCCATCTTCTACTTCTGTAAAAATTTCACACGGTCCATTTAAAAAACATCCATCAACAAGAGTCGTATTGTTTCGAACTATACAGCGTGTCGTTACCAACGCGACAATAAATAAACACACACGTCTAACGCTACTTGCCAATAATCATAAAAAATATTAACGTTAAAAAAATCCATAATAAAAAAAAATATTTTTCAAACAAACTAAGTAAGTAAAAAAGAAACAAAATTTGTAACATGTTATACAACTACAACTGACTGATTCATACATTCAGACACTTTCACTTGTTGCCACAGCGTCGCATTACAAGCCTCTCCTTCTAACAGTATGTTTTGTCTCTTTTAAATTCATTCAACCCATACATATGCTTTGTGACCTTTATAAATAAACTTTGGGTTACAGTTTTATATGTAAGGGTGTTCTAAAATTCTTTGTTTTGGAAAATTTAATAAGTCGGTAAATATTGATGTTTAAAGAATGTAAATGTTTAATACAATTTTAAAAAGTTATCCTCTATATGTGTGTTAATTTATTGTCGCGATTGTAAAGACACGCTGAATATTTCAAAAACAAAAACTCCCAGCAAGATCAAAGCTAAACAATATCTCAGCATACTGAACAGCAACTGGGGTGGGTTTGCTTAATTGTAGTCCCATTCGCTAGTATACATTACTACCCAGTGAATATTATTGTGTAGTACACCTGAAAATTCTAGGATCTCCATGAAAAAACTGCAACTCACTATGATCGGAATACACTGATTGATGCTTCATCGGTGGTGGATGTATTCTCTGTGTGTATAAAGCATAAGTTGGGGATGGACTGCGTGGCCTTTTAACCCCAGACTGTATTGGTCCACGGACAATTGTCTGCTGTTGCGGAAACAACATGTAGTTTGAATGCTTATTCTTGAACAAAGAAAATATTGATTAAGTATTGCATCCACGCACAAATTATACCAAGAAAAGCATAAATTACAGCAGAACTAATTTTTTTAATTACATTTTCTCTACTTATAAGTCAGTCCAAATTCTAGTGATTTACTGAAATAATGGAAATATAGAACATAATGAGAATAAAGACTTGAGACACACTTAATTTTTGTAGGATAAAGGTAATTGTGATATTGAAAATTTATATAATTATTATTCTACTTTTGTTTTTTTTAAACTACACAATGGGCAGCTAAACATGGTTCAACTCTTGGCTTTAAGAAACAAAAATATATTTAAATTAACACTGCTATTGCTTAACAATAATTATCTGAATACATTCTAGACTACTATCAATTAATTATGATAGTTTGATATTATGAATGTAAATGGCAAAGTGTGAAGCCAGCTTCATATTAACTGTAATGAAAAATACCTTATTGAGTATGTGTGATGACATAGCGGGTGGTCTACCCTGTGAGGGAGGTGGTTCACCCTGCCCTGTTGACGACATTGGAAACATTGGTATCTGAATGTTGCCCATTGGCATCTTCATTGGTGGCATATCACTGAAAAAATGAGAAAATAATTGTATTAAAAGAAACACTAAATTATATTAATTATGCAGAGATATAAATATGAAAAAAATATAATTTATAAATTTTAATAAAAATTTGTTTAACAACAATTATGAAATCTAATTTATTACGACACTGTTTTCTTCGTCAAGTGGAAAAGTATGTTAAGGACATGTTTATCATAAAGTAAAAAATTTAAATATAATAATAATCACCAACGAGTTTTATGTTTTATGGACAAATTTAAAAAAGTCAATCTGGATTCCATTAAACTATAGCATAATTACATGTATATTAAATACAAATTTCACATTTACACAACTCACTTAGATTCCTTTTGTTGTTGCCGTTTCCTTATCTCATCTTCATTAAGTACTTTTTTGAGCTGCATGAATAACTGTTGTTTTTCTTTTTCCAACTGCTTTAGTTTTTGTTCCAATTGGTCAATTTGCTCCTTAGTTTCTTCTGTAATTCCATTTATGATAATAAGTTAGTAAAACTTTAACAAATACATTTTTACAGGCAACCTGAAATTTTTATAATTAATATCCATATCTAAAATAAGAAATACACCAGAATGTAAATTCAATAAGATTTTCTATGATATAAGGTAATTACACTATTTATAAATACTTTTTAAAAATCACTAATTATATTATCTTTTACCAGTTTTACATCTTAGTTATATGCATTTTTTTACCTTGTAGCAAGAGTAGACAGGGACATTAGGTTTCTATAGGGGACCAACAACAGGTAGGCAGGGGCAATGCCACCTTGAGTACACAAGAATTTATTTGTTTTTTTTATTTTTAAATTATATTTTTTAATTAATATTGGCCTTCCAGCACCCTGAAAATACTCACTGGGCATGGGTTTTGTGTGCCCTTATGGTTAAGACGATACTGTACAAGGGTATTTTGATTGAACAAAATTGGTTGCAAGGTGTACATGATTTTTCCTTTCTATAACAATTTTATTCCATTTGTTTACCAATCTTTATACCATGATCTCTTAGGCCCTGGAGATATTCATAGATGGCAATGATTACTACATGTCAATGAACTGCCTGATCAACTGCCACTGCAAGTGTCCAAGATATATTTAAGTAGCCCAATTATTGTAGTGGATATTAAAACTGTCTCTTGATCCAAAGGATGTTGGTTACAATCTATCACTATTATGGGGAAAATACTTATGAAAGTGTTTTTCTATGAAATGTTTAAATCTCTATAATATGTATTTATTAATTCAAGAAAAATATGTTTAAGTCAGTTCATCAGCTACCTATAACTCTCAGTACACGCTTAGTTTGGGACTAGATAATTTTATGTGAAATTATGTCCTCAGATATTGATTTATTAAAATAAGCCAGTGATATATGCCAGATTTATGGTTTCATCGCTATCATTGAGGGCTAACCTACCCAGCGTCATCACATCTTGCCTTTCTCTAGCCTCGCGTTCTTTTCTCAATCTCTCTTCTTCAACCTCAGCTTCATATTCTGAAAACAAAAACATTTGATTAGGGTAATGAATCGGTTCGAAAATAAAAGTAAAAGAGGTACAAAAAAGCCTCCTACCTTCTTTTTTCCTTTGCCTTTCTCGTATAATATATCTTTTTAGGGCATTCCACATTTTTTGATCAGCATTATTTTGCTCTTCTTCAGTGGTTGACGTTACGGCAGGCATTTTAATTAGTTTTAGTGATTCAAACTAGATTCGGGGGCTAAAATACCTATATTATTTATTTATAGAGTACAGACGATATAATTCTGAAGTGAACTATGTTTATTATATTTTTCTTAAGTATTTGAGTATCTGAAGCCTTGAATAGCATGCAAATAACTTCCGTTTTTTTCGATTTATTTATGAAATCTTGTATTTTTTTGGATGTAAGACACGTAACAGTCGTCTTTTTTTCTATTTTTTATTCAATATTTTCTCATTTTCTCAAATTATTATTATGCGTTTTGGTAAAATATTATGTAGTGGTGAAGATACCAGTGTTGCCATTTACTGAAAAAATGGCCCTAAAATAGCCCTAAGCACAATTTTCAAGTCTTCAAGCCCTGTATTGCATTTTAAGATATTGTTTAAATGCGTTTTACATTTTGTTAAGTAAAAAAATATAACTTATTCTTAATAACTTTTCATTACAAATATTAACATTTCATTAATAACAATCAATAATTGACATTTTGCTTTTTACATAACTTTGGTCAGCAAAAATAGTGACGCATGAAATATTATTCATGGCCCTAAATTTTATTGGACTGAATGAATGAGCGTAATATGCATATATTTTTACCCTAAGTTTGGGGCTAAAAGCCCTAAGTTGACAAGCCCGGAAAGTGCACTACTAGGTTACTATTCATATGTCAACTGTTATTCCAACACTCCACAGACAATATACAAGTTCTTCTAATATTAAGTTGTGAACGTAGCATAATAATTACAATCTTATTTTCTTTGTTCTAGGTAATTGCTATAATTATGTAAATTTGTTTAGATATTCTATATATAAAAATATACATATTGAACATTCATAAAATCATTCTCTTCATCATTTCATTATAAAAGTTAGGCAAAAATAAACAACCAAAAGTGTTAATTGACGTATTCACTGAAAACCGCCAAAAAAGAAAATAAGAAGAAGAAGTACAAGTTCTTCTTCTTCTTCCAGTATCTTCGGAACCTTACCTAAAGGGACGTCTTTTATTAATATGTTTTAGTTATTACATTATATTTTTTAAGGTGTTTAGTTTTAGGTTCACTGTTTTATTATATATTTTGTATTAATTTATCATTTGAATGTTATTTAAGTATGCTTATAACCCGTTTGTTATTATGAAATAAATTTATTTTAAGTTTTCCTTTCTACTATTTTTACATAGTTTGCTGTTAGCCCATCGATGTCAGCGATTCATCGAAATCGAAGAAGCAGGCAAAGAATTTAATCCTTGAAAACTAATTGTTTTCATAGACTTAACAATGTTTCATGATAAAATTGCAATTTTATACATTACTTCCTAAAATTAGATTCGACAATCGATCACGGTCCAATCCATGGTTCGAACGTCCATCTAATTCCCTTGGATTGTGCGTGTCTAGCTCCTTGGTAAAATTGTCCATCTTTCAAAAGTGGTGGAAGATTCAGTAGAGCTGAGTCTGAGAGTGTTATCATGTCGTCGTCATTCAGTCGTTCACTGGCAATAATGTTTTTCTGAGCCTGTAGGCAGTTCATTTGCCTGCGGACCTTTTCCAATGAAGCTATCAAAGCCATAAATAGTATATTATTTTGGTCAAAGCCCAAATTTAACGGAAAATTACACACACACCAAAAAAATTCTCATACCTATCGGATAGTTGTCGTAATATAAACTGGCAACATTACTTAACGTCTATCAAATCAAAATTGCATCTGTGATTACCTGTGTACGTCACAGAGCAGCACAGAATTGAGAATATACTACAGCATTGCTGATTTCATAGAAAAGACAGACAAAACTATACTGTATGTGGTCAAGTTATAGGTGTCTATATTATATGATTAATATGTACAATAACATATAACTGTAATCTGTCTGTCTAGAATCTGTGATCTCGTAAAAACTAGGGATAAGATATGAAGTTATATTAAAAAGATTAATATAATAATTGACAACAAATACGGAATAATTTAATTCCTGCCAAACATTTAAACAAAGGTCTTTAAAATATGGATGGATTTTCAAGACCCAAGAAAAAACTTAAAGCTGTAAGTATTTAAAACACATACTTATTGTGACTTGTTTACCTTTTTTATTTTATACGAAGCTTTATTTTATTATCCATTTAATTTCTTTGAAATAAAAATACAAAAAATTTAATTAAATAAAAATACTTAAAACTAATGAATAAGTAGTTCTTCTATTATAAAAGCAATAAGCATAATAATGACATAATAAAACCTTACCAATATTATAAATGCGAAAGTTTGTGTGAATGAATGAATTTTTGTTACTCCTTCACACAAAAACTGCTGAATAGATTTTAACGAAATCTTAAAATAATGTAGCTAATACATGAGAATAACATATAGACTATAATTAATAAAGATATATGTGAATTATCCAAAATATAATAATAAGTTTTAAGTAAGAATTCTCTGCAACCTATTTAGGTGTATAATAAAAATGATGTGGTGAGTCACCCCCCAATTACCCCCCCCCCCCCCCTGCCGGAGATGCATAGTTTTTTTGTTATACAATTTATAATTTTATTTATTTAGTAGAATATAATAAATAAAAATTCGTTAGTGTTTGGTACAAACCTCCTTAACCCCCCCAAACGTATAGTGTACTTTAATTCGGGCAACTCGATTCAAAACCCAACCCCATTTGTTTTAACATGTAACATTTGACACATTTAATGGATATGAAGCACTGGCAAAGCTTTAACTATATATGCTTATTAAGTCTGAAAATATAGTAGGTCGTGAACATATAACTGTTTATAGCACACAAATGAGTGCCAGTATTTTGTTGCTAGTTAGAGATCAAAAACCAGATTGTTGCCTGTTACCGGGATTGCAATCTGTAACCTCTGAACAATAATAGTCTATAAGTAATATGCCCATGTTAGTGTTATTCTTAATAAAGTTATGTTAAACAATTAGTTATTAAAAAAATGAAATTGTTTAATGCATCGTCCCATTAATTTGGTTGCTAAATTGTTAAATTAATTTGTATGACATAATAAGTTTAACCAATGCAAGGAACATGATTTGAGAAATTCTATTAAGCCAATAGTTTCAACTTTATATGTTTAAACTTAAGTTTGTTAGACAGTAAAGTAAGTTATAAATATTCAAATATTTCTTGCTTACTTTAAAGGATAATTTGCTTGACTTGTGTTCACATTATATATATATAGAAAAGAAGAAACATGTTTATTTGTATTGAAAATTGATGTACATCTTTACAACTTGTTTTAAAAGGAATAATGATGCTGGATAACCAGGGTAATTGTTTACATTAGGATATAATAAACATTTCAAGTTAGTTTGATAAATTTATGCCTTATTTAATCCTAATTACACTTGTTTTAAATGCCTTTGTTTCAATTATGTTTTAATTTATATTTTCTTTTTCATAAATTATAAAATAATTACCAAATTTTCCATTTTATAAGTAGCTGCTTCAACATTTCTTCGATTTTTATATGTTTAACTAATGTGTTAGTTTTTTGTTAAATTATTCTAGAGTTGCAATCTCAGGGTAAGGTTACAAAATGATTTCGTCTAATTGTGCAAAATGGACGAAATTACAATTTTAAATTTCGATAAACATTAATTTATATCACGTCCTGTATTGAGAGCAATTCATTGCTATTATCAATGAAAATGCGAGCGATTTCAATAAGTGCCTTTTGTAGAAGTCCATGGTAAGCATTGGTGTCAGTGGCTTGCGAGGCAGCGCGCGTATTGCCGCCTCATAGTAAACCGGTCGCGTTTGCGAAAATAACCGTTATTGGCGGGAAAGTATTTGGAACATAATTAGCTTTTTTTTGTACAAATATGAGTTTGGAAGAAAGGTACAGGAAGGTCAGAGAAACATACGAAAAGTTTAAAATTGAACAATGGGGCGACGGCGGCAGCAAATCGGTTAGTTCATCTACTGTTTGTTTGTTTTACGATCGCGTGAAAGTCTTATTTTCAATAATGCTTTATTTTTATTTTACTTTATTTTTTCTTCCGTTCTATTGCATATACAGTAAATGCGTATTTTATGAATGTGCAACTCCACTTTCACTTGTTTGATTTTTAACGATATACATTCCACTACCAGTTTCCTCGTTCGCATATAAAACTTTCTTTTTCGTGTTTCATGTCAATTAAATTCTATTTAAATGGGAATGTGTGTCAGTGAATTTCTAATTAATATATCTCTTCTCTACCTAAGCCTAAGGATTTAAGCATTTTATAAATTAGCTCAGCCGGTGTTTCATTTTAGATATTGGACAAATAATTAAGAAACAAATTATAAGTGTTGGCCATTTTTTATTGAAATTTAAGAAATAGAATAAATAATAAATATTTTAGGACACATTCTTTTGACACAACATTCTCTACAAACTAAGCAACGCTTGTATTAAGGGTACTAGAAAACTGATAGGCATACTTAAACATACTTTTCTTTTGTAAATAAATACACATTATACATATAAACACCCAAACACTGGAAAAACACTATCGAACCCACACCCTCTGGCGCAGAAGGCAGGTACACTACCGACTACGCCATTCGGGTCGTCGTAGAATATTTCTATTGAATTCCAAAACATTTTTTTAATCAATGCATACAGCGTAAATCAGCAAACACCACTTGTGTTTTCCGATTTCCGAAGAAATTATAAAATTTTGAACACGAATATCTCCTTGATAACTGGTGTCCTCAGAATGGTCATTAGCATATTATAATAATGGCTATTTTGATTGGATATTTTAGGTTGAAAAATTACATACTTCGCCCTTAAAATAAAGTAGCTAAATATACGTATACATTATATCTGTATTTTTTTATTTTTAGGGGTAGTCTGCACTTAAAATGATTTAAATATGAGTGTAATAGATAATTGGTCGAAAAGTTATTCGGCGCTGCTAGGATTCGAACGGGTGTCCTCTCAGCGACGCCATTCACTCTACCGACTGAACTAAGCGCCCGATATTCTCCCGCGGGAAATCTCAACAAATATACTAACGTACTAGTAGTTCTATGTATCATCATAATTATTCTGACTTCACTATTGTCAAAACGTCGAAACCGGGTGGATCCGAAAAATTTTTTCGACAATTATTTATCTATAAAACTCATACGTGTCACGTAGACGTTTCTTTTTTTAATTCTAAAACGCAATTATACTCACTCTATAGCATATAAGTGTTAGAAATTAAAAAATATGTCTTTTAATTATTGCCTCTGAAATTTTAACAAATAAACTCTAATAGAAAGTATAGCAATTTAATGGGCCTATTTACGAATGAGTTTAAACGATTGTAAGGAATAAGCTTTTATTCGGAATTAATACCTATGAATTTCTTTCGTGTCATACTTTTATGAAACTTATATTAGCATCAATCTTTGAACATTCGTCACGTAGATGATCGATGGAAGTATTGATTTCGATGTTCATAAATAAAAGGACCTTCGTGCAGCCTTAATGTAAAAATAACAATTTAATAGCACCGCAAGAATATGTTATACGATACCATTTAAATGTGAATTTCTTGTGAAACTTTTCCGTTCAAAGCTTATGAATATCGCTTTGCATAACTAGAAATACAATTCAATTATTTAGGTAGATATAGATTTCAATTTGTTATTGGTAATTTTTCATTACAAAACTGTTACACGACACAGTAATATTGAATTCTAGTAGCAAAGAGAAAATTTATTGACTTTGTTGCTAAGTTCGATACAATTAGAAATTTCGTAAGAATAAATTAAAGTAACAACATATAAATGTATATTTATGTCCCACTGCAGAAAAGTGCAAAATCCTCCGCTGTACAGAGGGTATTAGGGCATAGTCCACCACGCAACCCCACTGCGGATTTGGCGAACTTCACATGTCTTCAAAATATTTTTTGAAGGATATATTAATGTAAATGATTCTCGGAAATTCTCTTTCCCATTCTCGATTAAAAATGTAAAGCGAAAATTTGAAATTTGTATAGTTCTGTATGATATATGTATATGTTCTATACGATATTAAAAAAAGATAGAAAATTTATTTGAACATTAACTATGGTTATGGTTAACTACACTACCTTTTCAATAAACTATGTACCAAGGTAACAGAGCTCCCTAAATTATTATTCGTAATAAAAATTTACAACTTACGACTACTCAAACTTTACCAATATCGCAGCAAAAGTAACTAAATATAATTAATATTAGAACGCGAGTAACATGAATGTAAAACAACTTACGTGTATGTACTTTTTGAAATTGAAATTTAATAGAGTACGTGTTTTAATATCACTAACCTAATTGGTTATAATTTGAATTTATACTGAATTCAGCCGATACAAATTTTTCCAATATTTATAATATACTTATAATGTAATATGATAAAGTTTTTCCAAATAATCAATTGTATTATAAAAACCATTTTTAGTAACAAAAAAAATATGCAACCGAATGAAAACCTCCTCCTTTTTTGAAGTGGGTTAAAGGACATAACCTACTTATGTAAATATTTGCTTTCATAATAAAAGCGTTTTACGGCCGTCGATATTCACCTATATGCATTAGATATATTATTTCTTTAGGCATTTATTTATTTAGATGTATCATGATATGAGTTTTATTGTTGTCTGTACCATTTTTTAGAATTCAAATATCATTTACTTATGAAGCAATTTATTGTATCATGCACTTATCTGAATCGATTTATTGACGCGTTTGCTAGTTACAAGATCACTAAAAGTACTTATATAGACATAGTATTCGTCATTAACATAAATCCTTACTAATATTATAAACGCGAAAGTTTATATGTATGGATGGATGTTTGTTACTCTTTCACGCAAATACTACTGAATGGATTTTAATGAAACTTTACAATATTACAGCTTATCCGTCAGAATAAGACAGGCGATAATTTATGTAGATAGTTTTATGTATATCCATCTTTCTGTGTGAATGTTACGCCCTCAGGCTATTCAACGCAGACGTAGTCGGGTAGCAGTTAGTTAAAATTAAGGATAGGTGT